AAGATAAAGGTCAGTAGAAAAGCAAAAATGAATAAGTACAGTCTTGTTCTTCACAAATAAGTGATCTGATTATTTAGAGTTGATTATTTAGAGTTCAGAATTAGTCCTTTATATGTACTAAATGCAAGAGATGGAAATGGTTGGAATTCTCAAGCTGCTAGGCAGAGATGCAGGGGAGCTTTGAGTGAAGGGGAACTTGTATTATCTCCCCATTTAAATTTGTTCCAGCCCTGTGTGCAATTCTAGTCTTTTAGAAAGACTCCATGCCTGCCAGCCCTACTCATACCTTCCATAAGCCATAACAACATTCTCTTGGGCATAAAGAAAGGGGTAGGAAGCAGTAAAGGACAGGTGTTCACACAGCCTTTTCTTAAGCTGAATCAAGAGAACATGCTTTTCCAGTGACAATTCATGGGATGTAGGCCACACTCCTCACGCCATAGATAGCTATTTTTTTCTTGTGTCAGAGTGATGCATCTGGTGCCTGCTACCCCTCCTTAAAGCTACAACACTATAAGCACTTACTTGGGAGTAATCCCCCTTAAATGTAATGGTGTTTGCTTCCAAATCAATATGCACAGAATAGTACTGAAAATAATTCTTTATTTTTTACTTGATATGAAGGCAGGGACAAGTTGGAAAAGGGGAATGGAAATAAAACTGGGCATACTGAACTTTCAGAGGCTGCAAAATTCTTCTAGGTTGTTATCTTTTTTTTAATGCAATGGATAGAGGCCTCCATGAGTCTGCAAGGTTGCCTGGGCAAGCAACGCATCAAGTGAAGAACAAGAGCCAGTGCCTCTTTCCATGGATTTTAGAAAGTTTCGTCTCTCTCTCCCTATTTCAGAACACAGAGGCTGCAATCTCCTTTCCTGAGAGGCGGGGAGGATGAAGCTCCTTCAATGAAGGAAACAGCTTCAGGTTCTCACAGCCAAAAACAGTTCTAAGAAGCATATTTAGGGAAGGCCATTTCAAGGCCATTTCTCTTTTATATGAGCTGTACCAGACAAGCTCTTCTTAACAAACTGAAAGGCCTTGACATGGCTTCAAGACAGTATCCTGGCATTTGGAGACTGGGAAAGTTCATTGCATTACCTGTTGAACCTCAGTAACCTCCCTATCATTCTTCTGGTACAGCCCTTATAAAACACAGCCCTAAAAAGAGCAAATGCTTTTTAACAATAATTTTCTGTCCAGTAGCTAGACCCACGCTAAGCTTTGATTTCTACAATGTAATTTATCTTCATGTGTAACCAGTGCTTTTTTGGTAAGAAAAAAGGTGCCAAAATTCATGAAATTATTTACCTTTCGCACGTAGTCAATCACTGTACACACACCCACACACGTCAGTTGTGTAACAAAACATAACAGTTGCTGCCTGCAGTAAGCACTCAGCGCATGACCACACAACTAATCACAAGCCGAGCAGTGCCATCACAACCAGTGCGAACGAAGTACACATGCATCGGATTTGACACACAAGCAGCCTGCATGCACCGTTTTAATTATTTTGCCGCCGACCTGCTACGCTCAACAGGGCGATTCAAATTCACATGGACCAAACATCAAATTTTCAAAAGTTACTTTTAAAACTTGGAAAATCTGTCAAAAAAAAAAAAAAAAGGTTCTGATGCATTCTATGACAAAAAAGCACTGTGTGTAACAATATTGTGCATAATATTAGATGTTATATTCTCCCTGTCAGATAATGTGCCCTAAAATGTGGGATTAAAAAGGTATTACATGTACGCCCTCATTTCCACTAAACATTAATGCTCAAGGCAGATATAAATTATTCATTTTACAATGAGCTTATTAATTCCTAGGTAAGAAGTCTGCTGATCAACCATGTCTGAAGTGGCAAGGCAAAAGAGTGGTTCTGAATGTTTTTCTGAGCAAATTCATTCTTTTTGTTTTTATCCAAGTGGATGCATTACAACAGCACACTAATTTTGGAAACACAGCAATAATCAGAACATACATTTATTTGATTTATGGATTCAAGAGCTTCTGGGATATGCATACAATTCCCATAAGGATCAATTAAATTGAACAGCTAGCAGAAGGTTGGTCAGTTGATTCTTACATATGAATTTCTGCTAATGCAAATGAGGTAAACACCCTTCCATTGTTTCGTTATCACCAGGGGGCTCCTCTAAACATTGAAATTTCTATTTATCGTTGGGCATCTGAGCTACCCCCAGCTATATATATATCAGAGAAATCTGTCTTGAATTCAAATGCACTCAGATTTTTGTGGATCCAGCCTTTGGATTTGATAGTTTTTCCAAGGTGCATAGGTTCAACAGACTGGCAGGCCATTTGTTTAACTTGGGGAAAGAAAATTGCATAAATGCACACCTGCATTAATAAACACCAGCAGAAACGGAACATAATTTTCATACTTCCCTTAAAATATCTGATTCTGTAAATGATCAGAGGACAGAATGAAATCTGCGAAGCAGAGCTGGAATGAGTTAAACAAAAGCCACCCATCCATACTGTCAACACAACTGGACTTAGCAGCAATTTGCTGCAGAAAATTAAGTAAAGAGAATAACTTAATATAAATCCTGGTGTACATAGTGAGATCAGTAAATCACTGCCCTAGAATCAGAGGGCCATGAAGTGATGGGTGAAACTTCTCCAAAGAAAAGTATGGGCAATTAATTATAAGAGGAGCCATAATAACTCTCATGAAAAAGGAGAAGGAAACCCTGTTGAAAAATCAGCTGGACTCAGGCAATGTCATGCCCACCAATTGCCTCAAGTGTCCTTGCTAGTGGTGGACTTCACCTCACCTGATTTTCAAAAGGAAAGATCACACCATCCCCATGCAAGTGAATCACCCTATTCACTCCGAGAAGAGGAATATATTGGGCAGGTGTTTCAGCCAAGCCTTGTAGGTGAAGTGGAAGCCCATGTTCAAGATGATCTGGGGACCTTCTGAACAATGTTCAAAATGTTGGGGGGATGCTCCTGGAAGGGAAGGGGATGGGAACTATTTTCCATGGACTTTGGGTAAGAATGGAGTTCAAAAGTAGAGCTTTGAACAAGAAGATCAAGAAATAAACTTTAAGAAGAACGCTAGAGATCTCGATGCACTCACAAACGGTGGTTTAAAGTTAACTGAGAAAATGGCAGGAACTTGCCTATTTATATGGTGGGGAGGGGGCGGATGGGGCAGGGTTCCCATGGAAAGTTCTAGGCTAGAGTAGAGGAACCTTCCCAAATCAGGCACTGCACAGGCACAGCACTCCTATGTGTGATGCACAGAGGCCATGACGAAGAACTATTCTTCCATAGTCTTTGCTTTGGTTAACTTACCTAGGGATTCAAGTTTGATTTGGTGTAAATCCTCCCTATCAGCCCTGCTGTGCCTTGTGTAGAAAATCTACAGATAGTGTCACTTTCACAGGAGTCGCCCGTTTAGACTAGTCCATGTTTGCATTTTAAGAAAACCCTTGTATGAACAAAAATAGTCAAGCAGCTTGCTATGCTATTTTTTGGAAGGGTTCTTTCTTAAATCAAGTGACACTCTTCTAAGTCCCATGCCATGGATCCTGAATGAATAATTGCTTTCATCACTGTTATTTAGCAAGTTTGAAATGTCATTGTCGAAAGACAAGAGGGCTGGGAGAGAGAGAAACCAGAAAGGTATTTTTTTTAAGTTTTCATTCTATTTATGTTTCCTGCCAAATATTTTCTGATGACAGACGCCACCATTTCAAAACTGTACAGATACATATTGCTTTCAACCAACAGGGGACAAAATACAAAGCTAACATTTTGCTAACATGAAAAGTATCAAAATCTGTCATTTGAAGGAAAATGTTCAGAGATTGTAAAGAAGCACAAAGGGGAAGTTTTCTTAGACTGGGGAATGCTGGGAGATGTAGGACCTTTTCTGTCTAAACAGTGATAGGATTGCATTCTTAATGAACCATTTTGGTGCAGCATGTAGTTTTATTTCAACACATGGAGCTTTTTGCGTTTCATCTTGCTCTGTCTCACACCATGAAGCAAGACCATGACATTTTTAAAAAACCTGCAAACAGAGCAGAGCTAGTGTTCAACAGCAAATTCTGCTCTTGAGCAGTTTGACTGCAGAATACATACTGCCTGAATTTCCTCTTACATTTCAGCTGATATCACAGTTGAAGGGATCCAAGTATCTTCACACAAGATGCATTACTCTTTTCTAGGTCCAGTTCTGTGTCCATCTAGCCCAGTGTTTGGACTGGATGTGGTCCAGGGATTCAGGCAGGAACCTTTCCCAACCCCACTTGAAAATGTCAGAGAAGGACCCTAGGGCCTTCTGAATGCAAACATGCACTTTCCTACGAAGCTGTGGTCATACCCCGTGCAGAAAATCCATTAATCACAGATGAATCATTTTGATAAGGATCAGACATGCAACACTCTCTGTTCTATTTGCATACAAAGCAAAACCACCACCTGGAATGAAATGTATCAGGATTGAGAGCATGGAAATGAGAGACATGGTTGGCACACCCTGCTGCTGCACCAGACAAGTATTTCTTAAGATGAAATTATCTTAAGAAATGCTTTTTGGTGACTAGAAGCAGCTTGGCTAAGAACTCCTTGATGGAAAACTCACTTTGACACAGACAGTAGCATCAAGCAATGACCTGAAGCAGGGGTCCTCAAACTTTTTCAATAGGGGGCCAGTTGAAAGGCGGCGGTGACCTGCGTGGCCTGGGCACATGGGCTGGTGAGGCGGCGGCTTGCTCAGAGATCTCCCAGCGAGTCCAAAATCATCTCCGAGCGAGCAAGTCACCACCTCCCGCCTGCGCTGCGAGGTGGGCAGCGGCAGCGGCTTACTTGCTTGGAGATCTCCCAGTGAGTCCAAAACCATCTCTGAGTGAGCAAGCAGGCGGCCGGCGGCCAGCAAAATGGCCATGGTGGGCCAGATCCATCCCACTGGCCGTAGTTTGAGGACCCATGACCTGAAGGAAGGGGGAAAGTAAAATTCGTACCTTAATGAGAACCTGGATACGCCCTGTTGCCTTTGAAGAAATGTAGTACCAGAAACTCAGTGTGCACACAGTGCTTGACTCTGTCCACCTGGAGCTCTTCAGATGTGCCTTTTCACCCCTCACACCTGTTGACATGGCTTCAAGATACAGGAATTGTCCTACAATCAACCATGAAAAAGGAGCTAAATCTTTTCCATATCTGATACTCAGCATGAAAACAGAAGGTTTTATCATTAGGCGCATTTGGAAAATAGGAATTAGGGAAGGCGATTGGGGAAGCAAACACAGACACTAACTTTTAGTTATCAAGTCCACATTAAGTGTTCTTTCTGACAGAAAGGAGGAAAGCAAAATCCCTGCAGCTGCTGCACAGCTGAGGGGAAAATATGATGCCCTCTTGCTTTGCAGCCCCGTGGGAACTGCAGCTGCCATTTATCTCGAACTCTTGTTCTTCAGGTGCTCATAGGAGTACAAGAATCATGCCAAAGCAGGTCAGTCAAGTCCAGCATTCTGTTCCTGCAGTGCCCAGATGGATGCTTGCAGGTTGACCACATGCAGGATAAAAATGCGATGTATCCTCCCAGTTGTGTTCCCAGCAACTGGTATTACTTGGATGGCTGGCTTGGATAAGGGAGGTCAATCAAGCTCCTCGGAGGAAGCAAAAATAAGAGCTGGGGATACCTGGCATGTATTATTGTCAGATGAACTTTATCATGATTTTCAAGTGAAAAGATACCTTTACAAGGTGTATTCAAATGTTGGCGACCAGCTTTCTGAAATAAATATCTGAATCACATCAGTGGGGATAAGTACATCTCTCTTTCAAGAGAATAAATTAAATAAGGGAGACAAAGTTTCTAGTCTGACAGATCGCTTCACTGGTAAAATAAAAACAAGAAAACAGAAGTAGTAAAAACCACATAAAAGGGTAACATGTGATGTTTGTTTAATTTGATTTCCTCACAGTCCTTTGTGCTTTTCCTGTCACATTATTTAGAGGCATCCAAACAAAATAATGGAAAAGGCAATTATTCTTTTCTTTTGGGGGTTAAACTTTGGATTAACACACCAGATTGAATAAGAAAAACAACTGCTTGGACTTAACATTTAGGTTTTATATATGTGTAAGAATAGAGGCTTTAATTGGATCCAGACCTGAGCCTCAGGCTGGGTTGGGCCTATATTTAAGTTAGTTATGCTCTACTCCTATTGAAATTGATAGACAAATTAGTCATGTATCATTTAAGTAGCATTGATTTCAATGGAACTAAATGATGGCTGACTTAGTCTGGATGCAGCCACCTCTATTTAACACCAGTGGTGAATGTTATATGGAGCAGCCATAAATAAAAGCACTAACTGCTCACATAGGGGACCTCTCCTTCTTTCCAGGTAACCCCAGCAGGGCCTCAGGGCTGATGACATGGGGTCCTGATGCCTGTATCTTTGTTAAAAGATATAGACCATTTGGTGTGGACTCATTAGTAAAATTTTCAGATGATGAAAAGTTTGTAAGGAGAGATTGATTATGTGATGGGACTTTGGGACTGAATGTTCGGTGCTGGTACCTAATGAAACATTTTGCCACTCTTGACTCTACTATAATATATGGAATATGCTAGAAAATCTAGTCATAAAAGTCAAGACTAGGGAAATATTCACTTCTGCTGAATCAGATGCCTTTCAAAATAATGGCAAATGCCTCATTTGCCTAAAGCTAATGAATAGTTTCACTATGGGAGATGCAAGTTGAATTTTGATTTACCAACATGTCTTGGGAACTGTTTATATATCATTTTGCTTTCTTATTAAGTTTGTATAATCTTTGCCAACAAGAGGAATTTTCATTCCCTTGAAGTATTCCTTACAAAAATAAAACAGAGACTCCAACAATTCTCTGTACTCTCTTCCTTTCCCATACTAGTTAACTGGTTAAAATCACGATTTATCTCCAGTAGTGCTTATTTGAGATTATATGTATATGCATATGTATATTCCTTTGTCCATCAAGACAAGCATCATGCTTCCTTTCCTGTGTAGTCTTCTTTTCCTGTACTGAATTCTAGGTTTCAAGAAGCTTGGGTCAGGGGCATTTCACATATACATCGTAACTTGCCATGCGCACTGATTGCAGCCTATTGACAACAATATTCTTTTGTGTTGGTAGCAAAAGTTCATGATTCAGAAGATGTTGGCCCACATGAGTTTGCTGCTGGCATTCATTCTTTAAGTCTGCAACAGTGTTGTTGGAAAATGAATGCCTGCCATACCATCTCCAGAGAAAGCATCTTATCATCAAGCCCAGGAAGGAAAAGGTCACTACAGACATATTGTGTATTATTACAGCCATGGAAATAATGATGTTGAAGAACTGAGAGATCATACAAATAATGTGAAATATGGTTCACCAGTGTATGATGAAAAGAAAATAATTTGTGAGAAGAGTGTTTGAGGTGCCAGTTGAAACATTTATTACTAACAACGTTTCCTTATGGAGCAAAAAGCACACTTATATTGATGTTTCTTTGCTTTGCCACAGGAAATTTCATAACTACGTAGAGGTATAGAGAAAACAAGGATGTGCAATAAAGAACATGGAGGGAAGTTTTGCCCACATGCTATCAAATCATATTTCTAACCGTGTGGGTCTGAAACACACCACAAACATTGAAAGCTGGAATTCTCAGAATTCCAGTAAAAGCATATACCTTTATCATACACATGATAAAGCTGCACATTGCCTGTGTCCAGTGGGCATGCCCAGCCTTTAGCAAACTCTTTCTCCTTCTGGATAAAAACACTCTTAGATTAAGGCTTCAGTATTCTGCTACCAGCTTGTCCCTTCAGTTTTCATGGACCGAGCAATTATCCAATTCCAATTTCGGCTTGACAGCTCCAATTGGTTACAGGCCTGAGCTGGCAAAAGGCATGATTGCCTAGTCTTGAAGCTACAAAATAATTTATGCCCACTTTGCTTCCAGATGGAATCATCTGATTGTGTTGGCTTGTCATTTGGCACATGTGTGGTGGCGTAAATGTGATGTGGCTTCTCATCAGGGCCTGAGAAACAGATGTGCAGCTGCCTCCAAAAGACATGGCACTGTTTGAAAGCATCAACTGAGAAGAATTTGCTTTGCAATTAGCTTTTCCTGATTCAACCGCATTGTAAAGCCATTCCCAACATTAGGGATTTAAGCAGCTTAGGTATTCATAACATGATTCTAATTAGATATTTTGAACCTGCCCTGTACTGCATGAGAAGTGATGATAAATTTTGTGAATGTGACTTAATTCCCTCTGCTGAAGTGGCAGCATACCTTTCCCATTTCCCAGTGTGTGGTCCTTGGAAGGTCTGAGGCTTTGAGGTGAGCCGGTTTCCTTCACCCAATTGAAGTTATCAGCCAGGGAATTTTGCCAACCACACATGCCATTTTCGAAAGTGCAAGAGGTCCCACATTCTCTCTCATCAGTATTATCCCCACAGTCATCCTCAAAATTACAGCTTTGTTCTGATCTGTAACACTTTCCATTGAGACATTCCAAATAACCATGAAAGCAGGAGCCTGGGAAAAAAAAGAAAAAGAGGAGAAAAGGAAAGGCAGATTTCAGTGACAAGCATGCAAAGTTACTGGAAGTTTACCTCCCATTCCCTTTGACTTTCACAAAGAGGTGACTAGTTATTAAAGGAAATTGTGGTCTCTGAAGTGCCAACCCGTTGTCATTTTATGTTGTTTGCTTCATTAAGAGGCAGCACCAAAAAAAATAAAAAATCTATTTTCCTTGGAAAGCTGTTGAGGACAAAGCTCCAGTCTATCGCTGGCAATTGCCATTCTATCGCTGGCAATTTTCTTACTGGACTTAATTGCTTGTATTTTCTGTTTCTGAAGTGATAAGTTGATTCTCAACATGCATGATAGAAAACTCCAGAGTTTGTTAATCAGGCGATTGCTTCCATGTTTGAAGGACAGTGAGCAAAGTGCCCTCAGGGGCAATTGGCCACTTCAGAGCTCCCCAGTAGAAGTGGTACTGCTTCTACAGAGGTACCAAAGTGCTAAATGTGCCAAAATGATCTATATAGCATCACTTCGGGGAATCATGGGAAATTAAAATGGAGACCCAGCTTGCAGACAGAAGTGCCATGATGGCGGGGTTGAGGGTATGGGTCAGAATGGGTGGGCCTGGCAGCTACCTTAGCGGATAGCATCAGTTGCTGATGCTAGATCTAGTGAGCAGTACTAGTACTACAAAAACTTGCTACTGTACCCATTCAAGCATCCCATGCAACATGCAGTCATGGGGCATGTTAAATATTGCTCTAAAATGGGTGGGAAGCAGGTTGATCTCAGTGTTTTGGACTTAATTGGCTCAAAGTTCCTGCCAGACAATGAACAATGGTCAAGAAAGCAAATGCTGACCAACTCCCTGCATGGATAGTGTATGATTTAGAATGCTTCCCAGACTCTTTTGCAAGATTCAGGATGCCAGCCAGTCTCAGATGTAGAAGTATTCCTTAGCAGCTGAATCGATGTGAAAAGGTTAAAAAAACCCCAAACTATAAAGTTTGAACACCACTGAGCCATAACATTTCAATGTTAGAACTTCTGCAAGCACAACTTTAAGATAAAGACAGAGAGGAGCTTCATTATCCAGAGCTTCTCAGTGAACACTGCATGTAGAAATTCCATTGGATGGTTCTCTCCCTTTTGTGGGTTCTTCCACTGTGAGTTTTACTAAAAGATATTATAAAGCCCATGTGCTGGGATGACTTAAGGTAGCACTAGTGCTTCCAAGATGCATTATTTCAAGCTTTTTCCTGAAATTATTTGGCTTGAAGATGGTCCCTTTGGGGCTCCTCTGGCTCAGAGTAGGCAACTAAACTGAAACAAAACAAAATTATGCTCTGCTAGGAAAGTCGCTGTGAAAATCTATGGGGAACAATTCCGGAATAACTTTACACATTAATAGGCACACTGTGAATAATGAAGAGGCATAAACTATTTATGCATGTGCTTGCAGGACAGAAAGACTCTGGATTCAGTCCTAAATATACTGATTAAGTAGAAATCCCCTTCAAATTCATGCAGATGTCTGAGTCAACATGGTACGGTTGCGCTGTTTTTTTTAAAGGGATATAAAAAAATTAACTCACACACATATGCACATGAATTTACTAGAAAATCCATAAGAGGAGATGGCAGGGAAATAAAAATTTTCAACACAACAAAAAAAAAAAACCCCAACAACAAAGTTTATTATCAGAGTTTTTAAAATGCACTCCAAACCTCAACACATTGCCCCTAATCCAGGCAAAATTAAACACATGAGTTTTCTGTTTGATCCCCACTTACCTAGAAGTAAGACTGGTTGAACTTAATGGGATTTACTTCTTAGTAGTTGTACATAGGCTAGGATTCTATAGCTGTAAGCCTAAATGGACTCATTCAGGAACATGTCCCAGTGAACACAAGTAAATGCATGTAAGATTGTTTTGCATGACCAACTGCTTTCAGTTGAAATCAACACAATATATATTTACTTAGGTTTGTCTGTATTACACACACTGTCTGAAAAATGAGTTCTGTTCAACCTGTAGGACTTACTTCCAAGCAAACAAACTAAAAAGTAGTAAAACATTTGTAGAAATCCCATGAGGGCCCAAGCAACTCCAGATAGTTTCCAGACAGAAGCTGTTAATGCTAATGTGCAAAGGGCATTGCCCAGCTATTCCATCCCCGCCTCCTGTTCATTTCTTTCCTAGTAAGAAAAAGATAGAGGAGGAAATGGGAAAGCACAAGTGGCTACAAATGGAAGACTGCAATGTTTAGACCTCCCATAACCTTCCATGAATGAGGTGGGGCCAACCGTACAGCAAAAGCTTCCTCTGTGATCACCCCAATTTGAACAACCAGAAGGAGATGGCGGTGGAACACAATTCCTTTGGTTCTTGCTTTCTGATTGTAGGAGAATCTGGTTGATGAACTTCTTCTCAGAGCAGCTCTGGCTCAGACTTTGTCTTTTCCTTCATGATTAATAATATCTGAAATAATATATGTATAAAGATGCAGGCTAATCAACCATGCAATATTAAGAACCCTGAGCATATTCAGTTTTAGATGGAAAGGAAATAGTTTCCATGGAGTCCATGCAGGTTGGCTGGGGTTCTGTGCCTCAGATGTGTAAAAGAAGAGATCCCAGGAGGCACAGCTTGCCATGTGAGCTACACTTGCTGCAACTTCTCTTCCCGCAAAACTACCAGAGTTGCAGAGGTCACCTTTGGCTCCTCTGTCTGCACATGTATTCTCCCTTTGCTCTCCCTTATCCTATACAACTTGGGGTCAAGCTATCTGAAGGGCAACTGTCTCCCATAGAAGCCTACCCAGGTTTTAAATTCTTTGTGAAAGGCTCTCTTCTGAGCGCCACTTCTGCCCAAGGCATAATCCATGGGATGTTAGAGAAGGCCTTTGGGGGGTTGCTCTCTGCCTCTGGCACTCTGCCCCAAAGAAAGTGAAAGTTAGTCTTCTGTTGGTAGGCAAAGGTGTTTGTATTCAAGTAGGCTTTGACCATGTATGCCAGTTTGTTGCTGAAGGAGCTTTTAACTGATTGGATGCTGTTACTTTATATCCATGTGTTTTCAGTTGATCTGGCTTGAAGTTTGAATTAAAAATTGCCTATTACTTTTATTGCTAGCTGCCTCAAGTGCCATTTGTGGCTGAAAATGGCAAATTAATGTGGTATATAAATATTTTTACAGTTTAAACTATACACTTTTAAATATACACAACTCCCTGCCAAAACTGTTTATCAGAGATGAAGATGGGATGAGTCTACACACAATGGACAAGTATCATTCATTTGAACAGCCCTGAAATGTTGGGCAAGAGCCTTATTTCACCTCAATTTAGTATGGACAGGCTCTTACCTACCCCAATCTCCCCAAAGAGTAAGACATTTTTCTTTTGATGAAAAAGATTAATCTCCTTCCCCTTGTTTAGCAGCTCTTCAGCTGTACAACATCCTCAACCATCCAGTGAGCCTTTAAACTCTGAAAAGAAAAGGAACTAAAAACAGTGAGGGATGTTCCCCTTCTATTTTTCTTGGGATGGAAAAAAGAGAAAGAACATACTAAAGAATTACTTGCTTCAAAATCTTAGCTGCTGATAAAAAGAAGAGAAGTCACCGAAAGGAGCCTGGCTATTTAATTGACAGGAGAAGCTTCTTTGTAAAGGTTCAATAACTTTTTCCACAGTGATGATCTGCAGAGATTGTTAGCAAGTGGAGTTTTTGTTATCACCTGGCAGATTGAGAGCAATAGGCCCAAAGGACTTGTTAGCGTCTCTACGATCGAATCCACAAACTGAGGGGATTTACAACAAATAATAATGACAACTACACAGAAACCCTTAGAATCAATGAAGTCCAAAATTGTATCTTTTGAAAGAAAGTACAGATTATGGCATGAGGGGGAGAGAGAGAGAACTTGGTCATGCGGCCATCCATGCCCTGGCAACAGGCAGATTAGTCGATTGCAATGAGTTGCTGTACATGAAGGTGTCTCTGAAGAGTAATTAGGAACGTGGATGTGTCCAAAATATAGAAAAAAAGAATAGGATGGGAGCAACACTTATGTTAAAACAGCTTATCTGGCTTCCAGTTAATTTCCTAGCTCAATTCCAAGTGCTGGTTTTAACCTATAAATCCTTATATGGCTACATTCCAAAGAGTTCCTTGGCTATACCTCTCAGCTCCTGGACATGAGCGGCAACGGCATTCTCAGCTGGAACACCAGGACCAGGCATGATGCAGCTGGGTGCAGACCTTGGCAAGACACAGCAGGGGAAGAAGCAAAGGTGAAAGAGAGAGGCTCAGATACAGCAAAGCACTGCAGGACCAGAGGCAAAGGCAAAGTAAAGCATGAAGGTACTGTAGGGCTAAAGACAGAAACTGATTTAGGAATAGGAAGCGGCCACCACAAAAAGTCATGCTGTAGTGGCAAAACTCAGCAGGACTGAGAAGCCTTTCATTAGGCCTGCTATGGCTCCCAGTTGCCCTTTGTGGGAGTGACGTTGCAAGCAGCTACAGAGCTGTTGCCAATCCTGCAAGTACGTGCAAGGTGGACCAGGCTACCTTCTCTGTCAAGCCACCAGGGCGGACTGCATTGCTTTGCAGATCCTGACTGAACTTCTGAACTTGTCTTATATTTTCAGATTTTTCACTGATGCCCTTCTCTACATGCCTATCCTAAGAGTGATTAAATTGGCAATAATCAGAGCAGGGCCTTTTCTGTTACTGTGGCCCAGCTTTGCAAGTCAGTCTCCAAGATTATTCAGTGAATGCTTACATCAAGTTGTCAGCTTTAAAAAAACGCTTTCCTCGTCCAGGCTTTAAAATGTGAGGTGATTTTGTCATTTTATTGCCAATGATTTTATTGCACCCAGTTTTATTGTTTTTACTGCTTTGGCTCTTGTTTTAGTTGGTGTTTTAATATTATTGAAAGCCCCTTCTTGTACAGCAGTGATTCAGAAAAAGATAACACTGAACACATGCTCAGATGTTACATGCAGAT